TCGATTACCCCCACACACCACACTCACATACACTCACACCTATTCTACTGACCCCTCTAATCAGATCCATCAGTAACCAATAAGGCCGGATTAATCACCTCAGGGAGAGAGAGAGACCAGGGCGGCAAACAGGGCACATGATAAGGAAAAGATGGGCTGAGCAGACTTGTGCCACCAGTGCTAACCCTTTGGTGCTGGGTGCCAAATTTGATACAATGGCTGGCTGGGTGGCGCTGAGCTGACCGTTGAATGACAAGAGATTGAGATGCGCAGACGAGGCGTGGTTCCGGCGCAGACTGCGAATGTGACCGGCGAACAGATCTTGGCTCCGTTCAGGGACTTACTTGTTTACTGGCGTTAACCCTCTGGGTCGTCGAGCCGGCGGCGAGAAGCTGGCCATGGCCGGAGAGATGAGGGCAGGCGGCGCAGACCCGTTCACCTCTGGCGTCACCACCGACTCCACTGTCTGACTCTGTCTGTCCTTGTTCTCCTGAGGCCTCTCCTCTCTCTTTTCTGCCCTTTTGTATCCCTCTCGCCGCCTCCTCGGGCCATCTTCTGAATCCTCAACTTTGCTCCGCCCCTTTTCTTCCGATATCGGTTGCGTGTTCCGTCAAAACGGTCCATTTTTCCATAAGTTTGATCCCAATTTTGAACCTTGACTTGTCCAGCTTCCGCAGCGCACCCTCCGGCAGGCCGTAGTCATGGTGATATTCCATCTCTTGTGGATGCTCCTCCTACTTCGAATTACCCCTCTTCTGATAGGTGGAAACTCATAAGCCGCCACACCTTCCCACGAAAATGTAGCCTCAGGGCCAGCTGTCACGGCATCGTTGGCTCCGCCCACATTTCCATTCTCCATTCGAGTAGAGTCCTTCTGGCTGCGCGGATTGCTCTGTTGGTCCGCCCAATGTGCCTTACAGACTGGTTGGGGGCTGCTTCTTGGATATATTCGGCGATCCTGTGAATTTGAATGAGAACGGTGCAGAATGTACTACGCCGAGCGCCCTTTACTGTGGCACTGGGCTCACGGCGTCGGTGACTTCGATCGGCTGCTCTACATTTCACCGGATTTTGGCTGGGCTAAGCGATCTGTATCCTTTTCTTCCTTGTTACCCTTGTAATCAAAACTGGTGGTAGCGCGCGTCCTCGGATTGTTGTCTTTCTTTCAGCCGTTTGAGTATAGATGTGTTCCTGTCGATCAGGCGCCGCCCCCGAGAGGTTATAGGTTTTTGTTTTTGGTTACTGCGTCGGTTGCACGCTTCCCAGACCCTCCTGGAATCTAATGATTTTTTTTTCTTGCCGAGCTGGCGGTACTTCAGAACATCTTCTATGGTCTTCAAAACAGGATTTTTCTTTTCTCCCTCTGCGTTCCCTCTCTTTGACCTTAGCCGCATTCCTGACGTCGGTCGCTGGGGAAGGGGAGGGCGGCGCGGCGGTTCCGTGTTTTCCGATGGCGCTCGTATCCGGGTTATCTGGGAACGACGCTGGCCACCTGGTGGGGTTTGGGGGAGGGGATCGAAAGGCGACTTCTTTCCCAGGGAGAGCTTCGCCAAAGCAGGTGCGGTCCGGTATTATGTTCCTGCCGCTGCGTGTTTTCCAGGCGGTCCCGTGTTTCTGATGGGCGTAGGTCCGGGCCAGTGGCATGCCATTTCGTCTGTTCAGCTTCGAAAATTGATGTGTTTGCTTCAAAACTGCCCTTGTGTTCCGTGTCTGAGGCGCAGCTGCAGCGATTTGAATCTGTCGCCGGGTCGGTCCCCACTCCCCTCCTTCGGTGATGGTCCGGCTGGATAAATGTCACCCATCGGGGTGCCGAACTTGGGACCAAGTCCTGTTTTCCAAGGTTCAATTTGATTAATGACTCGCCACTTGATACTTAATGCGCCCCGGTATGCTATTTGCCGACTTCAGATCCGGGTTCCCACGAAGTGGGGGTGGTCGCCACAGTGGACCCTCGTTGTCAAAGCCGGCGGCCCCCTCGTGCCCTGTCGGCGGTCGGCTGTTATGACCGCTTTTGGCCGCTGACGCCGCGCAGCTGTCGTGGCGGGTGTCTGTTTGAAGCAGTTTGCTTTTGTGCCAAAACGTTTGAAATGTTAGAACCGAGAAATACAATGCTTGTAGGAGTTGTTGTTCAGCAGACGGGCGGCGATCCCGGATCTCGAATAACGGTACTAAGCCCGTTATGCCGCTCCGACACCCTTTTGACGATGTGGCCGGGCTAAAAATGGATGTTTTCGATATCTCGGCGCGGTGGGGACTGGTGGCCAGATGGGACGCTGATCGGCCGTAGCGCCGTAGCCCGTGTTTGCAGTCAGGAACAGAACTAAATTGAAGTTAGAAAAAAGGTCTTCGTTGCAGCCAATGATGCTATTTGCAAAAAATGATAGAAAATGTAACCGCACAAACGTTACATTTTCTATCCTCTTCTTTGAGTCGCGCCGCGGGGTTAAGTTGTAGTCTTATGTTGAGGTCCGCCAGCGTTACAGTAGCGGCTTTGGTGGCGGTTTATTTAATGTGCGCGGGCACTGCTCCGTTTACTGTGCATACGGATAATTTAGGAGTTAGATATAATTTAGACAAAGGAAGGTGTCCTAGGTCGTGGCTTCCTATTTTATTACTTTTGTTCTCTAGGCGTAATTTTTCAGTTCGTTATATCGCTTCCAGTAGTAACCCCGCCGATGCGCCGTCACGTGACCTCGGCCTGTGACCTGGCGCGATCAGCCGATCGCTGTCCGCCAATGAGAGGCATTCGCGCCAAAGAGGTGACCAATCGGATGCAGCGCCATGTGGCGTGATATGTGACTGTTCACTTTGTGCTTGGCTGTCGGTTTAGTCTCGACTCAGGTGTGGTCACAAATACACGGCCCGAGCAGGGCCAACATCTTGATGTTCTGTTGGCCCTGCTCGGGCCGTGTATTTGTGACCACACCTGAGTCGAGACTAAACCGACAGCCAAGCACAAAGTGAACAGTCACATATCACGCCACATGGCGCTGCATCCGATTGGTCACCTCTTTGGCGCGAATGCCTCTCATTGGCGGACAGCGATCGGCTGATCGCGCCAGGTCACAGGCCGAGGTCACGTGACGGCGCATCGGCGGGGTTACTACTGGAAGCGATATAACGAACTGAAAAATTACGCCTAGAGAACAAAAGTAATAAAATAGGAAGCCACGACCTAGGACACCTTCCTTTGTCTAAATTATATCTAACTCCTAAATTATCCGTATGCACTGTAAACGGAGCAGTGCCCGCGCACATTAAATAAACCGCCACCAAAGCCGCTACATATTCCGCAACATAAATCGGAAGGGCGAACCGAAATCTCGCCGAAATTGGGGCGCAGCCCGGGCGCACGATACCAATACAAAACGGAGTGGCGTCGACAAAAACCGAACGGTCATGCGCCTCCGACCACGCACATCGATCTTGCCACCGCCAAACCACATCATCGGCCAAATACGGCACAATGGCAGCGCACGCGGCACAGTCTCCGTCCCTGACCGCCGCCACAACCTCGAGAGGCAGCTTAAATAGAGGCCTTACAAAATTAACATAACCCGCCAGACGATGTCGCACCGTCGACGGCCAAGACGGACAGCACTCAGCTACCGCCGTACGAAGGGGTAGCAAAACATCACGTCGCACACGCGCCGAACTCTCGCGCAAATTCAGCTCAACCCCCAAAAATACAATGCTCGACACCGGTGACAATATAGATTTCTCAAAATTAATGCATAAGCCCACATCCGTCAAAAACCGAACAATACCACCGAGGGATGCAAAGTCCCGAGCAAGAAACAGAAAATCATCTAAATACACAACGCCGCGAACACCAGGAAAACGCTCCTCCACCAGTTTAACAGTGACACAAGAGAAATGCTGCATCTCAGCAGGCGCATGTTTATAACCCATCGGCAATCTCGTAAACAAATATGTATGATTATCATATAATACCCCAAAGTTACGTTGCGTGCTCGGACATAAAGGAATATGGTAAAAGCCATCGCGCAAATCAATCTTAATCGCCCATACAAAACCCTGAGACGATAAATCTAACGCTCTGTCAATAGAAGGCAAATTGCATGGACGGGCCGACAATAGTGGAGTCAAATCAGACAGATCGTAAACCAAACGCGCAACCGACTCAGATTTCGCAACCGGGAAAAGACGGTAGCAAGCCAGCGGGTTCCCCGGCCGCAAAACCCCCGCCGACACAAACGAATGCACCGCCGCGTCCATCAGCGCAGACCGAGGAGTCGCCCGCCAGATCGGCGGCACCACAGAAGGCACTCGTAACTTGAGGCCTCGAGCCAGAACACTGTGTACCCGATGATGGCGCACGTAATAGTCTGGCCTCACTTGCACCGACACCGGCGGCCGCACTCTGGCCTCACTCGACACGCGGCGCCGCCCGCCGCCGGCAAACGGCGACGCCGCCCACGCCGCACCCCGGTCGGCCCGCGCAGACGGAGCCGACCCACCACCACTCTGAGGAGCCGCCCGCTCAAGGAGCCCCAGCAGCGCCCCGAGGGCACAGCCAGCGCCCCCCGCCGCCAGAAACTGCTCCGCCGGCAGCGGCGCCGGCAGCGGCGGCGGCGGCGGCAGCGGCGGCGGCGGCAGCAGCGGCAGCGACGGCGGCGGCAGCGGCGGCGGCGGCAGCGGCGGCAGCGACGGCGGCGGCAGCAGCAGCGGCGGCGGCGGCGGCGGCAGCGGCGGCACCAGCAACAACGGCGACGACGGCGGCAGCAGCCCCAGGTCGACGCCGCACGAACCTCCACCAGCAGCGCCATCTGTGGCCGCGGCGCCACACTCCAGCAGGGCAGCCGAGGTACTCTCTCCAGCAGTGGGCAGAGCTGGAGAGTCTGCGGGCGGCAGGAGACCGGAGAGGGGAGCCGAGACCGTCGCCCCCACCGCCCGCAGCGCCGTCCGAATTCTAACGTCGCGACGCGGCCGGCGGCGCGGCGCCCCTGGGCGGCACTCGCAGTCACATATCACGCCACATGGCGAGTGCCGAGTGCGGCTGCCGGGCGGGGTATTGATGGGATCCCAGAGTGTTTGCACTGTACGCTGAGGTTGTGTATGTCGGGAGCCGTCAAGTGGACGCCGATTGCGCTGCCGCGAGATAGCGACATAGCTGTCGTGATATCAGCATTAGATCAGCGCCTATGCTAACGGCCAACCCAGGCGACTGTTCAGTCCAATCTAGTCATACGTATCCGTCAGGCTTGAATGTCCGTCTACCAAATGAGCGTTTTGTATCTTGGATGGACTTCATAACTCAAATGTTTTTTTTTTTTAAGTGTTGACGCCGCTTAGTGCTTACACTTGTATTCACCATCCTGGTACTCTATGACTGCTAACATTTCCCCTCTGCTGCGTTTTTCCAGCGTCACGTTCCAGGCCTGTTTCAAGATGGAGTCGCTTGAGCAGCTGAAGACTACTGTGAACCTCGAGTACCGCCTGGAGGCAGAGACCTTCCAGCCGGACCGGCGCTTCTCCAGAGTTCGCTTCCTGGAAGGTCTGCCCGAGCGGCGCCACGTGGTCGAGAGGACGCTGCCGCTGAGCGCCGATAACACCCGCGAGTACTTCTGTCAGGAGGAGACTATGTTCATCAAGGTGCGGAACTCTCGGCCCGGGGATGCGGTGGGAAAAGGCAGGGAGGGCATACATTTTTATCGATACTATGATAAATCCTCTGCTAATTTTTCATGAGCATCCGATGTGCATTTCTCTTGTGTCACTGTTAAACTGGTGGAGGAGCATCCGATGACAGTACGAGGACGGCTCCGAGTACGAGTCAGAGTACGACGGCTCCACCTACCAGGGCGCCACCGGCGGCCGCGCGCGCCGCCCTGGCGGCCGCCGGCGCGGCTACTACCGCCGCCGCCGGCCGATTGGCGGCGCCACCGGCGGCAACCAGTCGTACACGTACCGTCGCCAGTACGAGTCGCGCCGGCCGCTGCCCGCTGACGGACTGGGGCCCGTCGACCTGGCCACGCGCCGGGATGAGCTCAGCTCGCGCCGCGTCCAGGGAGGCGTCGAGAGGGTGGAGGACCTGGGTGATGGCACGCGGCGCACCTACCAGGCTCACCGCGACCTGGACGGCGGCGACGGCTTCGAGCGCGAGCTGACTACCGAGGAGGACCGGCGCACGCGGCGCGATGTCGGCGTCAGGAGGCGCCGCGAGCGGGAGATGGTGGTGATGCCAGAGGCGGTGACGTCGCCGTCCGGAGAGGTGCAGCAGGTGGTGTTCTTTGTGAGTACCGCGGCGGGGCGGAGGGCGGGAGGGCAGGGATGGTGTTTAAGCTACTCCGCACCGTAAGCCACACCGCAATCGTATGGTTAAGTGGCTAATTTGTTGTGCTTTCAGAAGTGTATGGTAGAGATCAACAACATTTCAAAGTGCTCTTTGAGTAGCTGTCTCGAGGCTCATTCTAGAGTAAATACATTTTCGTCTATTGACAAAAGACAAATCATTTCAGTTCATGTTAGGTTGGCCAGAGCTGCATTTCCTCATTTATGACATGTTTTGCCTTTGATATCACTCTATACTGTCCTTGCACTCCTACGCTGGTCTAACCCACCCACCAACCTCCCTCAGGACTGCGCGCGCAACACAGCCAAGTGTGTTCAGTTCCGGTGCCGCATCAACAGCCTGAAGCCGAACCAGTACGCGCTGGTGCACATCCAGGGCCGCATCTGGAACCATACTCTGGTGGAGGACTATGACCGCGTCTCCTACGTGTCTATCAAGTCGCGCGCCACGCTGCAGATGGACCCCACCCTGGAGCAGCTGCAGGATGTATCCGATGATGTCTCAATGGTAGGTGGATAGAGGAATAGGGGAGAGGGGAGGATGGAGAGTGGTGGGTGTTGTGTTCTGCAGTGGCGCGAGAAGAAGGGGCGGATGAGAGGTGCGGTGGTCGTATGGAGAGAGGATAGAGGAACATCGAGCTCAGCAAACAACGCTGGATATTGAGCGTTCAAGTGTTCCTTCAGCTAAATGTGTTTTGCTAGTCTCGTTTGATGTTTAACATGTTCGATGTCTGTCAACATGTTCCCCGTCTGACTGTGTGCCGTGCTCCGGCAGGCGGAGACGATAGCGTACCCGGCGGTGCCGGCCAAGGCCGAGGACGGCGGCGTACCCATCTGGGTGATCGTCGTCTCCGTGCTGGCCGGCCTCCTGCTGCTGGCAATCATCTGCCTCATCCTGTGGAAGCTGGGCTTCTTCAAACGCCGGCGGCCAGACCCGACGCTGAAGTCCAACATCAGCCGCTAGACGTTAGCAACTGTTGGCGAGCGACATCTATTCGAGCGCAGGTGCTGCCATCTACAGTGAGCCGTCCAAAGCGCCGCGGTGACAGGCCGGGCAGCGGCCGCCGTGTGCTGGTGCTCGAAGCCAGTTGTGCCATCGGCAGTATGTGCCAAATATGTGTCTGTGAAGGCACGTGCGAGCTTGCAGGACGGAAGGGACGCTGCACAGTGGCGAGGCGTGAGACGGGTCTGCAGACGCGTGCCTTGTGCGGACTGGTGGGCAGGGCCTGGACCGGTGCTGACCCGGTCAGAGGAACGCTGCGGACGCCGCTAACTGGTGACTGAGTCGCCCGCCGTCCTCTGGGGGCCGCCAGTGAGGGCGGACACAACTGCCACTGCCCACTCCGCCCCTCAGTCGCGCAGGTTTGAGTGTGCTTAAACCATCGCTTAGTGTTGTATGATTAGCATTATGCAGTCTAGTTAGTATGTTTTGGCAGCTAGATGACTCTCGTAAAACCTTTTATACATTACACCGTCATCTGTCATTTTCATCCTCCCCTGTTCACATTGCATGCGCGTGCTCCTCTGATTCGGTCGCCGTTCCCTGTGACGAGTCGTCGTTCCAGTAACTCCACCGGCGCTCACCCCCTAACAACTCTGCCGCGTGGGTTATCTCGGTGGCCGAACGGTAAAGGGCGAACTACCAGCAATCCATGCATATCGGTCCTCAGTGGTCAATGCAGTGCCCTATCCCGTGAGCCTCATCCAGACCTCTGGTTACCTCCCGATTGGTTCAGGAAATCCAGGACTCCCGTTGAGACTCTAGGATGTCCAGCTGAGCTTTGGCCTCTGGTTATGCTTAAATGACAGATTGAGTTCTGACCATTCATCGGGCGGCATCGCATCCCGAGGTTGAGCTAACCCTCTACTTCTATCCCCTTCAGATGCCCAGTCATGTTCCTTGCTCCCCAGCGTGGGGAGAAGCCGGGCGGCCCCACAGGTCGCTAGTTGCATGGTCGCCCGACAGATGGCAGTGAGGCGCTGTTGTGCGACTGACGCGTTGTAATACTGTGATATTAACCTGGGGCAGTCGGGTGGGAGCGGGCGTGACGCTACTCCGGCGGCCAGCGGCCTGTTTGTATGTGTGTATGTGCCGCAGTGTTTGTGTGGAGAAAATGATCGAACTCCCATTCTGACTGAGAAATGGTAGACCCGTGTGCTTTTGAGCCGTATGCCTTGGTGACTGACATTGATAAATTTTGACAGCATTGATCGATCACCATAGCAATGAGCATGTCCGATTATGCTTGTGGATTTGGGAATAACATGAGACCATCGCTCTGCTTTTAGGTGTTCCCGTCCCAGGTAACTTGAAGCACAAAATTTCGACAATAATTGCTGAATATTTCTCGGGGAATTTTTCATTTTTATGTCATGACTTCTTGTATTCATTTTTCGAACTCAAGTTCCTTGGAGGCCTTTAGAATCTCGGCTAAGTATTATTACTTGTAAGTTCACATTCATCATTTTATATTTCATTATCATTTAGTGTTTTATATTTGATCACAGCTTCTATTTATCTGAAGCCGGCTCTCCTAACTAGCAGAGCGGATGCCCATGCTATCACCCTTCCACTTTATGTGGAATCAAGCTGCGTTGTCGCGCACCTTATCAACGGGCGCGTTTCGGATTTGGCTAGCTGATTGACGCGTTTCGTAATTGACGACCTGTCTACTGTGTTGGTGTGCCAGTCATGTGTGCTCGCGAGGACTGGCAGCGACCGACTGGTCACTTCGTGTCGCTGTCTTGAGGCCGTTGTGTGGTGTCGTATAAAATGTGCGATCGATAGAGTGCCGAGAACTAATCCGAAATGCCCAATAAAATCATAACAAGGTGTGTGCCGTGTGAAACTGTGTGCCGTCAGGGGCGAGTTACAAATGAGTTAGGTCAGGGACCGATTCGCTTGTCCAACGAACGAAAACGCCACGAGGCTAGATCGAAGAACAGAACTCGGGTGGCTGACATACAAGTTTACCGCTCTATTCACTAAACCATATGAACCCTGGCTACCGATGGATTTAATCCTGGTAGAATATCTTACATGGTAGACTTAGTTTCCATACCTTAGCTTCCGCATGCGAGGTAAGCGATCCGAGCCGGACGATAAAAGCTTATACTCCTGCCGCTAGATGGCAGGCGTCCTAAGCGCCTGAAGTTAGGCTGTCCCGCATGGCAGCCTCAATGACTGGACTGGCTGCGGCTGATAGCGGTAGCGTGGCAAGGCAGGTGAGCGCGTAATTGGCGGTAAAAGCACACTGAAATGGCCTAGAGACACCATGTGGGCCCCTAAGTACTATATTTGGGCCTTTGGGGCCTCGAATGCCGGCGAGGATCCATGGAGAAGTTATGGGGTATCTCGAGGATCTGGTATGAGCCACAAGAACCAGTGTGGGGCCCTCAGATGACGTCGTGAGAGTGTTTAAGTGTGGTCTGCCCAGGTCGTCAAACCTGCTAGGGGTCCTCGTAGGCCGTTATGGGGCCTCCAGTAGCCATGATGGGACCCTCCGAGGCCGGCCGGGGGGGGGGGGAAGGCGGGTGCATCGAGAAGCAGGCGTGGGGCCTAAGAAGGGCCATTGCTGAGTGCAGGTTAACGGTTATCGCATTCCTATCAGCTGTAATCGCACACACACACACACACACTTCAAAGGTCTGTAGGGTGTCAGCTACCTTCAATATGTTCTCACAATCAACACGCACATTGGTGGTGACAGAATGTATTGGTGATCTACATTACAAAAGACTCGGCGTTTACAGCTCTAAACCTATCGGTGCGACAGCTCTTAACGGATAGAGATTATAACACTGGATATTTTTTCACAACAGAACACATCGCGGCGCGCTCTGGGGCGCCGGTGACGTCACCTCCGGTAGCCGATGACGTCACCCGTCAGTCCGGGGGCTCGGCCGCCGCGTCCGTCAGTCGCACACCGCACGATGCGAGATGGAATGTTAATCAGACAAACACCGAGATGGCTACAGTGACGTCACGTTCCGGCACGCGCCGGCGCCATGATATGGTTACGGAGCGGCCGCGCGCGCGCGCGCCTCTCTCGGCCGCCGCGCGGCTCCGGTCGGCGCGGCTGGTTCCGGATGGTTTCTGGCGCCGCCGGCGGTGACCGCTCGTGCCCAAAGATATGTGAGTGAATGTCGCGCTGCGCAGGTCAACAGAGCTAAAACCTAGCCACAACAAACACGGCCCCAGTCGCCCGGCGCTGATTACGAGCGGACCGGCCGGGCGCCGGGCCCGATATCCGGTCACTCTTCCCACCCCCAACAGTCCACGCCACGTCACACACACGCACCCGCACATACACCCACCGCCCCTGTCGTGTGTCCCAGAGCGCGGCGGCGGGGTGCCTCACGCTCTGCCGAGCCGGGCCGGACCGAGCCGTGTGAGGTGCTCCGGAGCCGGCGGTGCCAGGTCGGCCCCGGCTGCAGCCAGGGATGCCGGGGGTGCCACCGGCAGGCGAGAGGCACTCGAAACGGCGGCGGCCGGCGCTCTCACTCGCCGTCACTCGCATCACACACGTCAGTCACAGAGCAGCTGCCAACACAGGGAGAGGCGCCAGCGGCGGCCGGCAGACCTCTCCGGGGAGAGGAGGGAGAGAAGGAGAGAGGGAGAGAGCAGACAACCCATCCCGGGCCCGTCAACGGGGTAAAACGGATAACACAGAGAGGGGGTGGATAAGAGAGAATGGATGACAGAAAACTGGTAAAATGAAAGATGATTGAAGAAGGAAAAATGAAATGAAAAGAAATTAAACAATAATCATAAATGGAGCGATAAGGGTGATGAGATTCAGTAAGAGGATAGAAAAGAGAGATCACAAGCAGAAAGTTCGAAAGAAGTACCAGAGTGGACGTCCGGACAGGGTGGTTATTGCGGCCGGGAAGGGGGCCTGTCAGCACAGACCTCCGGCGGACTAGAAGTGGGTTAGAGCGCGCCCTCCACCGCCCCCGCCCGCTGCCATCAGCACCGCCCGCCGCCCCGGCCAGCACAGCCTGCGGCGGACGACCGAGGGACCGGCCCTCGAGGCGCGCCCCACGCCGTGTATCTACTCTACAGTGTATGGCACTCAATTCCCGGCGACTCAGCTTCTGTAGCTACGTAAGCATTGCTACAGGCAGCGTCAACCGCGATAGCAGTGGCGGCGGCGGCGGCGACAGGAGCAGCAAGAGAGACAGCAAGAGGGATAAAAGGAGAGATAATGTGAGGCGAAAGGATAAGCAGCAGTGAGTAAGTCTGAGGAGATGACACCGCTCCAGCGCCACGAGGCTTTAGTAGCAAGGATGGTGGACTCACGGAAGCGGGCAGCGCGGCTCCGCAGAGCCGGCGAGGGCCGGGGCGGGGGCGGGGGCGGGGGCGGCCGCTATCACACAGGCGCCGGCGCCGCTCAGATGGCCAGGTGGCTGTTGTCCCACTCGAGCTGTTTGCGCGGCGGCGGCACCTCCTCCTCGTCGTCGTCCGGATCCGAGCTGTCGTAGTCGCTGCCGTCGTCGGAGCTGTCATCGTCGACGGCGGCCGGCTGTCCGGCGGTGGCGGCGTCCTGCGACGGCGGGGGGGGGGGGGCGGTCAGAGAGATCAACAGAGGGCCACACAGGCCTCAACACGCGCGGGAGAATACGCGAGAATGCACAGGAGAATAAGCACGACCTCATGTTATGCGTAATTGCTTGCCCCAACATTGAAGACATACACCGACTGGCGTGCCCAACACGCGATAAAAATAATTCAAACAAAAAGGAGCCGGCCGGACTGGAGCTCTTTCTCAGCTTCCCGGCCTACCCAGATCCATCTCTATAGTACCCTCCCCACGTCCCTCCTCCCTCCCCACCACTCACGCCTCCCCTCTCCGCTGTTTGTGAGGCAGGCCACGTTTCAATATGGCCAGCGCCCGAGGGTGGCGGCGGGCCCTTCCCACAGAGGCCACAAATTAGAACCGGAGCCGTAGTTCAATCAGGCTCGCAGCCTCTGGCGGCGGTGGCGGCGGCACAGAAATTAGACTCGGCCGCCGCCGGGCGCCGCCGCGCCGTGGCGATGAAGCCCTCAGCTCTGAGGGACCGGTGAACCGCGCCGGGGACGGGTAAGCGGGGTGGAGATGGGCGGGGCGTTTTGTGAAACTGAATGCTGCCGTGAGTTAGGAAAACCTTTAGTACGTCTCTTGCGTGATTAGGCACTATCTTGAACATCCACAGAATCCAGCTACTCAATTTTCACCAGGGCAACTTTCTTTATTTAATTAAGCAGATTTAACCAAATAAAATAAAATTTCTTTGAAGATGGATCACATCTTCCATCAGAAAAGCTGTAGCAATTGCCATTGCCTCTTATTCGAAAGCAAATATTGCCCATTAAAAAAAAAAACGGGAAACGTTTTTGGAAATCTTTTATATGGGGCAATAAAACAGCATGGCAAAGTTCATCACCACCTCTTTCCACACTCTTGCCTTGATATTTAATCGCACTCGTGTAATGTGACGGGTAATGAACGCCCTTTCCTCTCTACTCCCTCTCACGCTCTACCCTTTCTTTTCCTCCCCCCCTCTCTCCCTCCGTCCCTCTCGCCTCCTCCATGGGGTTGACAGTGATGTTGAGCCCACTCCCTCCCCTCTCTCTCCCCTCCCACCCTCTCTCACCTCCTCCATGGGATTGACAGTGATGTTGAGCCCCTCCCTCCCCCTCCCTCCCATTCTCTCACCTCCTCCATGGGGTTGACGGTGATGTTGAGCGCCGAGTCGTCCCAGGCCATCTCGGCGTCAGCTGCCTCGTCCTGGTGTCTTCGGTGGGCGGCGCGGATCCGAATCACGCCCAGCACGATCATCGACACCAGGAAGCCGATACACACCACGATGATGATGGTCACCGCGTGGCCTGCGCGGAGGGGACGGGGGGGGGGGGCAGTGGTCAGCTGTTTGCTTTGGATAATTCGCACAATTGAAATTCATGATGAGTTTAACAAAACAACGTCTCGTTATTCGTGTTACTGTAGACTTTATCGACTGCAAATCTATTTTTGTTAATGCGTGATATAACTGTTAATGCCAATATTTTGCATAACAGAGGAAGTGAGCAGGTCAATGCATTAGAAAGCTGACTAAAATGGCTACAATTTTCAAAAACAGCGCCATACAACCATTTGATCCATATCCATTAACCCTCGCCCGTATTGGTGTTTTTCCAGCCGCGAACGTATAAGGGGGGGGGGGGGGTCCGTTGGACCCCCCCCTTGCCGTTTCGCCCCTGATCGAGCTAGAGCTTCGCGGAAAAAACGAGCGTGTTGCCCGTGACGAGAGGAAGCCGATGATACCCAATTTTAAGGTCCTAGGTCATTGGTTGACCTTGCAGGTCAGGTCAATGACCCCAAAGGCGGGAAATCGGGACCTGTTAGAACGTCGTAAAGTGTGGCTGCTATGGGGTTTTTCGGGGTGCTGATCACGAATATCATGTTAGTTTTGATCACAGATGATGTCTTCATGTATTTAGGCCAGGTCGGGTCAGGTCAGATCAGGTCAACCAGTAAGGGTATTCGTAGTAGGTGGCAACCGCCTCTGACAGCTTCGTAACATGTTACGAAGGCACCAAAACTACTTCGTAAATGTTCATATGGTTGCTAAATTCGAATTCAGCTCCAAAAACTGGCCTAGAAACATGTAAAACTCGAAAAAGTGAGCCGAGGTCATCAAAGGTCAATGACCTGACCTGACCTCCAGGTGACCTTAACACCCACCCTAATGCATGGGGGCAACATCATATCACATGTTTGAACGCTTGAAACCACGAAAAGACTGCAAACGCGCGGCTAATGCGAGCCGACATACGCCGAATCGCGATTCCA